TGAGAGTGCTCTGTGTGTGTGTGTGTTGCCCTGTTCCCTGTGAGAGTGCTCTGTGTGTGTGTGTTGCCCTGTTCCCTGTGAGAGTGCTCTGTGTGTGTGTGTTGCCCTGTTCCCTATGAGAGTGCTCTGTGTGTCTTCCTAACCCTGTGCCCTCTATGCCCTTCAGAGGCAGAGAAGCAGAGCAGAGTCGGTGCCCTACTGGAGAGGCTTCATGCCAAACACTGCGCCTCCCGGCCATGGCAGGAGACCAGCAAGGTGGTGCGGCAGGCTATGGTGAGTGAGGGAGAGGAGGGTGGAGCTCATAAAGGCACCAGGACATGCGGGGGGGAGTGGGGGCAGAGAGAGGGCACCGGAGCAGACCTGCCCCCTTCCTGGGAGGAAACCATGATTTCAAGTCAATCTCCAAAGAAGAGAAAGGCCAGGCTAGATGTGTGTCTTTCCCCCAGAGCTCACTGCTCAATGTGGACTGTCGCATCAATCATGTACTGAAGATTGGATCAAATATTCTCTCTGTTCATGAATTTAGATCTAAAGGGATTTATTCAGGATAGACAAACTCTTGACAACATTAGACATTCTCTTCACATTACAAAACACCAGTGCTCAAAAGATAAGAGCAATTTTGGTTAGTCTGGACGAGTATTAGTATAATTATATTATATATATTACAGTTTGAACAGTTATTACTGTTATTAGATTGTGGTTAGCCAGTTTCTTTTTGAGGCCCTCCTGGAGAAATATGGTTGTATATCTGGATATAAACTAGACGTTGAAAAAGCAAAAGTTGTATCTTAGAATTCAGATCAAATAAGAGAAAATTGTGAGAGCAGGAGCAGGGAGAGAGAAGAGGGATGGGGCAGGATGGGGAGAGCAGTGTGGGGGAGATAGAGGGCTCAGGACCCGCTGCTCTTGGGGGGGGTCAGCCCGAAATGTTGGGAGGACTTGGTACAGAAGGGCGAAGGTCATGCTAGTGCAGTCAGGCGGTGTGTATTACAGGGGTATTGTGTGCATTTTAATAGGCCTTCAATCTCTCTTTCTCCCGCCACCCAGGAGAAGCGCAATGTGTTGAATGCTGGGGGACACCAGCTCCTGCTCACCTGTCTGGAGACGCTGCAGAGAGCCCTGAAAGGTGAGGGGATTGGGGTGTGGGGGAGGGCTGATTGTGTGGAGCTGATCAGGGCAGCGGTACAAGTTACCACACAGCTGGCATTGCACAGAACAGTGCCCAGAAGCGGGCCCTGGCAGGGCGTGGTGGGTCAAGCAGAGTGCACCTGTGTGAATTCCTTCATCTGCCATCTCAGAATTCCTTCTTTCCAAGCTTATGATAGTTAAAGAGTTTTGAAAAAGATGTTTATATCTCTGGAATTCTACAGAGCTGTACAGGAGGTATTCAGACTCCAAGGAAATGCAGTCCGTTAGTCACACCACACGCTGTGAAGGAGGGGACAGCCCAGCACTGGCAGACTCCCTTTACCTTCTATAGCTCTGCATCTCTTCCCAGTGAGGTCCAGGTAAAATCTGGGTGCCTGGACTGGAAAAGAACCGCTCGATGTTAGCCTTCTCCGGGCGAGAGTGGGTTTGCTATCGGGGAAGGAGGAATGGGCAGAGGTGACGAACTGATCCGGGGGTCGGGGTGGGCTGGTGTGAGGCAGGTCAGCTGCTGCCCCACGTTCTCTCTGCTCCGCTGAGCTTCAGTAACCCGGCCTCTCCCTCTCCCGGCTTCTCTCGTCCTCCCAGTGTCCTCTCTGCCCGCCATGACAGACCGCCTGGAGTCGATCGCTCGGCAGAACGGGTAAGCCGTGCGCCGCCCTGGCACAGCTGGGCTTTCGTGCAGAGTGAAACGATGAATCCACAGCAGTTTTCACCGCCGACAGCAGAGGCAACTTGGTCTTAGATGGACAATCTATTTGTTCTGATAACAATAAATTTGAAATTTCAAGCTTTCAAACCCTTTGTGTAATAAAAGTAAGGTTATGCGGATAGTAATTGGAAGGTATAATGTATGTTGGCATGTGCCACAGCTTGGATAAGCTCCCACACCATGCTGGGTAGGCTGTGCTGGCTCACCTGGGTTCGAATTTAGCCTTGGTTTGGCGCCTCATTGCTAAAGGTGGCATTAGTCTTCTAATCGATATGAATGGCGATCAAATGAATGATGATTTTCATTTACCTAGATCTTTATTTGCAAAAAATCGGTTTTGCTACATGGAAGCTTTGCGTTTTAATTTCTGGCATGCTTGAAACTCCTAAGCAGAGAAAGAGAATGAACGGTGACCCTTTAGGCACTGAGCAGAGCCCCCCAAATCGGGGCACAGATGCACCATGAAACGGGGACCATGCGGTGCCGGTGGCATGCCCAGGCCACGGCCAAGGTGCTCTTTCTCTGCCAGTGTTCTCCCCCTCCTCCCCCGTCTCGTATCTGATGCCCGTCTGCTTGTCCCTCAGGCTGGGTTCCCACCTGAGCCCCTCGGGGACAGAGTGCTACATCACCTCGGACATGTTCTACGTGGAGGTGCAGCTGGACTCGGGGGGGCAGCTGGTGGATGTCAAGGTGGCGCATCATGGGGAGAACCCCGCGGTGAGTTGGGGGGGTGTGGGGGGGCGTCTGTTCTTTCGCTGACCGTTGAGGACGGGCCGGCCAGTCGCACGCCCCCTGGCTGATAATGCAGCGTCCAGTGGAGAGAGGAGATGCAGCTCGAGAGCCTCAGGGGGTGAAAGAGAGGTGCCGACGTGCCCTTCTAGAGTGCTCAGAGATTTGTCTCGCAGTGGAAACTGGGCGCAGCAGACTGGCCAGGTTTTATTGGTGAACCTGCTGCTGATGGACTGATGTTCTTCTGTCTCTCTCTTTCGTGTTTCAGAGCTGCCCAGAGTTGGTCCAGCACCTCAGGTAAGCACTGCCTTAGCACAACACTGGGCAACAGTGAGCAACACTGCGACTCACTGCATGATGCTTCCTTTTTCTATGGGAGTCTGGAACAAGCTACCCAGCCATGCGGTTGAAGCCGATACTTTGGCTTCATTCAGGAAACAGAGTGATTGACTGGATGAGATCCTGGGTTCAGTTAACTGACTACAAACTATGAAGTGTCCTGAATGGCAATGATTTTCATAACTTCTGCAGTTCAGTCAGTCAGTGTAAAAAGTCAGGAGTTATTTTTTTACAAATGTGGAATCTCCAATGATCTGTTTTGTTTTGTACTCGCTCAGCTTGGAACATCTGATTGATTTAACACTTGCCTCTCCATACGAAGAAATCTAGACAGTAGATATATTCAGCGATTAAAGACTGGTTCAAAATATAGCCTTTTTTCTTCCATCCTCATTTTCCTCTTATATGATTTTTTGCCTTTTCCTGTAATCTGAATGTGCAGACCCTGTCTGGTGGGGGCCTGCGGTATTTTCTTCATCACAACTTACACAGAATGTACTCCTCACCCTTTTTCCATTTGAAACAGCCTTTCGGTTCCCTAAACAAATTGTTTGTCCCTCCCAACAGGGAAAGGAATTTCGAAGAGTTTTCCAAGCACCTGAAGGGTCTGGTGAACCTGTATAAGCTTCCTGGAGACAAGTAAGTGTGTTCAGCCATCATACTCCCAGCAGCAGGCCATGTCTGCCTGCCTGCACACCTGTGGCTTACAGGGCCACTGCCTTCCTTGTACTGGGTGTTACCTGTGCACTAACCAGTGTGACCTGTACCTGGGCCACAGAGTCTGTACCTGCATGTATGTGTTTTCGACTCATTTCAAAAGGGTTTTGCATCCAACTCATTTTATATAAGTCTCCCATTTTCTCTCTTTTTCCTTTTTCCTTCCCTTTCTCTCTGTTCCTATCTCTCCTTTTCCTTCAATCGTTTCTCATTTTGCTTTCCTCTCTGTAAATCCCTCTCCACACTCTCACTCCCTATATACCTCCTTTTTCAATCCCTCCACGATATACCACCTCCTCCTTCCTCCCTGATCTTTCTCCCAATCCCTCCTCAATCTCTCCCACTGCAGCAAGCTGAAGACAAAGATGTACCTTGCCCTGCAGTCTCTTGAAATGGACCTCACCAAGATGATGCACATGTTCAGGTGAGGCTTCTGTGCGGAGGAGGTGCTGGTCAGCCAGGCTTTGCAAGATTATGCAAGCCTGCAATAATATCACACGAGCACCTAAATCGCCCTGCAGCTCACAGCTGGCAACCCACTGAAGCTCACCAGGTGTGAGCCTAGCCAGTACCTGGATGGGAGACTCCTGGGAGAGCTGAGACTGCTGCTGGAAAAGGTGTTAGTGGTGCTTGTAGGGGGCCCTCACCCTGTGGTCTGTGTGGGTCCTAATGCCCTAGTAAAGTGACAGGGACACTCTACTGCAAATAAGGTGCCCTAATTTTGATGAGACCTAAAACTGAGGTCCTGGCTCTCTGTGGTCATTAAATTCCAGGGTGTTTCTTGAAAGGAGTAGGGGTGTTTCCCCGGAGTCCTGGACAAATTTCCCCCTGGCCTTTACCAATCATGGTCTCCTTATAATCCCTAGTCTTCATCACTCTGTTCTCCTCCCCACTGAGAGCTGGTGTGTGGTGAGCATACTGGCACACTCTGGCTGCTGTGTCACGTTGTTGAATATTGTGTGTTCCAGTGTTCTCCCTCTTCTCTCCATGTTGCAGGTTAGCCACTAACGCCAACACTGTGGAGACCATCCTGCACGGCAGCGTGGGATTGGTGACTGCCCGGAGTGGAGGTACACAGCACACGATTGAACCACAGCTACTGATGCACACGTTCACAGTGGGCACGTTCTGATCTGAGCACCGGAGATGACACAACTAGCTATAAGCGGATAACCCAGTAGGGACAAAGAACTAGAGCTGTCCTACTGATGCACCCACATGCAGATACCTGAAACATCACCGTGGCCCAGACCTGGTGCTGACTTGTTGTCCTCTTTCTGTACAGGGCACCTCGTCACTTTGCAGTGCTATGTGTCGCCCTATGATGTGTTTGAGGAGGAGACCGGCGCTCTGCTGAACCTTACCGACTCCAATGGTCAGACTCCAAAAGCCTCTGACTGACACGCTTCCTCTGAACTCCAGAACTCCGCACGCCCTTTGTCCTTTCGATTCTCAAAACTGCATCCTGCCTCTAAACCCTTGCATCCTGAATGCTTCCTGCCCCTAAATCCTAAAGGCCTGACTCCTACCTATAAATATAATCCTGACTGACTGCTGTCTTCTGACCTCATTCATGTAACTAGATCTAGCTCTTTTCCTTAACCGGACTGTGACAGGCCCAGCTGCTACATGTTGGTCTTGAAGGGCTGTAGCCAATCAGAGCTCTTAAGCCTACCCTCAGGTAACTCCCTGCCCTCTGTCTGCAGAGACTTTTAGGTTGGCTATCGGTTTGGAACCTCTTACGTTTTGTTTTGACATTTAGCATCTCCAGTTACTTTCTGGTAATTGGAATCGACAGATGTGTCTCATGTAGGCAGAGTAAGAAAGAGCAGACCCCTCAAGCCACGGATCATGTGACACATGTGCTACCGGCTCCACAGCTGCTAACAGGAGAGTTATCTCTGACTGGATGAGGGGCACATCCTTCCCTGACATCACTGCTAGGCTGCAGGCACCTGGCAGAGGTTGCTGTTTGCAGGGACACTGAGAGTCCCAGCTGATGAACCCTAGCCCCAAGTGACTGGAACGACTGCTGCTTGTGTCCTTTTGGGTAGAAGTATAAACCAGTGCCTTCCGGCTCACAGTCGTGTCTCGCTCACCCTGTGTCTGTCTGTCTCCCGCAGTGCCGCGCAACCTGGGCGTGGGCGTGTCCGTGACGATCGAGGGGACCTCCTCCGTGTACAAGCTGCCCATCGCCCCTCTCATCACCGGCACCCACCCAGTGGACAACAAGGGGTGGGTCTGTCTAGGTGTCCGTCGGCACGGAGACACTCGCCGACGTGTGGGAGGGCGGAGAACGGTGTCGAAGCGCGGGGTGCGCGCTCGCGTGGTCGGGGACAGAGCGGCTCGGCTGAGCTCTGCAACCCCGCGTGTCGGGGTCAAGCCTGGCGCGCGCTGTCAGTCCGGTGTGGGTTCACAGCTGGCACAGCGCCACTGGGGGGGAGCGCTGGGGTTTGTCAGCCAAGGCTCTGCGCTTCCTGGAGCACCAAGTCTTGTAAGAGCCACTGGTGACTGTGCAAACTGAGTGGGTATGCAAGGTAAAGCAATTCTTGCACCTGTGGGCAAAGAGGGAGAGGCATTTTAATCAACGGGTTGCAATGCCTACTTTCCAGTTCTCGTTGCTCCGCGGATGTGAGCGGGCCTGTCCCTGCTGGAGTGTGGCAGGTGTGAACATCTTGTCGCAGGACCACCCTCACTGTCGCCCTCTCTCCTGCCCTCCTCAGGACTCCCTCCTTCTCCTCCGTCACCAACTCCAACTGCGTGGACCTGCCCGCCTGCTTCTTCCTCAAGCTGCGGCGGCCCCTGCCCTTCTCCCTGTCCTTCATCCACAGGATGGGCAACGCCACCGGTGAGCCTGGCCTGGGGAGGGGGTGGGGACGCCACACGGCCAGCATTGGGGCAGCAGCCAGGTTCCCTGTGCCCCCGCTCCAGCCCTTTGACCTTTTGTGATTGTCCGTGCAAATTTCCTTCCTCTCGAGTGAGGTTAGAGCCTTCTGCTTCTGCAGCAGAAGAGCACCATGGGCACTAGCAGGCCAGGGCAGTGTTCTTGCCTCACAGATTGATACAAGTTACAGACACATGCCAGGCTTGGGGGGGGGGGTGCCCTTGGGAAAAGTGCTGTTGATTCCAGTTAAAGTGGCATACTGGGAGGGATTTTTGGCCTGGTGGTGTGGGTGTAAGACCGCAGGCATGAGAATGAACATCAGCCTAAGCACCACTTCCCAGTGAGGTCTGGCTGCCAAGCAGTGCCGGATTTCACAGTGCCTAGGGCCTACGAAATTGTTAGGGCCTACGAAGAAGGGAAACACCTAGTGACCAACGAAAAACAAGCTGAAACAGCATACCTGCGATCAACTCTAAGTGCTCCAAATCAATAATCACACGCTATCTAGCAGCTGTTCTAGAAACCTGAAGTATCGAAGTGATGGTCGCTCGACTCCCCCCATCAATCACGTGGTTTGGCATAAGAATAGTTTGAAGTGCATCGTGTCAATAGACGTGATTCAATTTAATTCAATTTTAACTAATCATAGTGAGAGTGCCTAGGGCTGAAGAACAGCCATGCTGTTCGCTGGGATCCTTCAAGCAGGATCTGAGTGAGGCCCTCGGATCACTAGATGGGATGAATGTTAGGTTTGGGAGAGCAGCTTGACTCCAGCAGGAGAAAACAGACGTCGGTCAGGTGGAACGGAGGCCTCCTCCTACTCCCCTATGCTGGTGGAGTGAGAGTGATCGGCTCTAGGTGCTGGCCTGGGGGCTCTGGCGCCGCCCCGGTGGTAACCTTTTTCCTGTTCCCCCACCCCCCTCTGTGCTCCACAGGGATCCCCCTGTTCGAGACAGCCCCACCTCTGGCGCCCCTCTATGAGCTCATCACCCAGAGCCAGCTACAGGAGGAGGGGGGGGGCGCCCTGCCCCCGCTCGCTCACAACATGCGCTTCTATGCAGTGGGTATAACTGTGTGCTCGCCCGTCTGTGTCTGTGTGTGGGGCTGGGGCTGTGTTTTTCTCTCAAGCCTTGTACAGTGGTGTTTCAAAATAGCTCTTTACCCGGCCATTTGCCTGTGCCGATTTCTGTCCTTGCCGTCTTGATTTTATTGGTTTGGTGTGAGCTTTACCCAGCTGTCATCCTTGTCTGCTCCTTGCTCACTCTCCCTCCTCCCTTTCGTGCTTCAGTCTCTGCCTGGGCAGCAGCACTGTTACTTCCTGAACCGGGACGCCCCTGTGCAGGACGGGAGGTGCCTGCAGGGGGCGCTGGTGACCAAGGTCCCGTTCCGCCACCCAGCCCAAGTCCCCGCCCTGCTGGACATCATCAGGCACCAGGCGGCCTACAACACGCTCATTGGGAGCTGTGTAAAGCGCACAGTCCTCAAGGAAGGTGGGTACCCCCCTTCTCTCACACTGCCCCCAGCTGTCCTGCAGTGCCAAGCTCTGCAGTGCCTTAGTGTCCCAGTCTCAAGCCTGCGTCTCTCAGATTCACTTTCCTTGCACTTTCTCTCTCAGTTCAGTTCACTTCATTGCCGTGAGTGATGAGTATCTGTACTCCCGAACCCAAGTACAGTTTACAGTTGTAATCAGAACAGATTCTATTTATTAGGAAAACCTGAGAGTGAAACAATGCCGATTACACACATTCTGCTACAGGGAAGTTTAAAGTAGATCAGATTAATTCATTAAAAGTAAAAGCACTATGATTAGATTACAAGTAATGACTAAAAATGAAGTGAAATATTTTCCAACGAGACAGACGTTCTCCACTTCACAGATGTTTCTCCCGGTCTCCCTGCTCTGTCTCCACTCTCACTCCCTCTTGCTTTCTCTCTCTCGCTCAGACACCCCGGGGCTGCTGCAGTTTGAGGTGTGTCCCCTGACGGACTCCAGTTTCAGCGTGTCCTTCCAGCACCCTGTCAACGAGTCCCTGGTCTGCGGTAAGAAAGAACATTTACCTTCCCCACCTCCCTAAAACCCTCGCTCCCCCGTCTCCCTGCGGTCGTATGGTCGTGCACACCGCGATCTGTGTGTGACGTTAACAACGTCATAGTCAAGGCCTGCAAAAGCTCGTACATATTGGATTATTTTGGCTGCCTTTTATTAAAACTGCTCCAAAACCAGCTCATTTTTCCCTTCAACTAATTGTTCAACTAAGTGGGAGAATAAATCTAGTGGCCAACTGGGCTGTAATTGTAATGGCTGGACTTCAGCAGCCATTTTATCAAGAACGGTCTAATTGATCACCTGTTTTTTGCTTGATGTGCTTACCTGTCTCTGTGCTGCCCCCCAGTGGTAATGGAGGTGCTGGACTCACGCCAGGTCTCCTGTAAGCTGTACAAAGGCCTGTCGGACGCTCTCATCTGCACTGATGACTTCATCACCAAGGTGGTTCAGAGGTACGAGCCGATTCTGGCGTGTTTGTCAGCTTGGGCCTTTCAGTGTTTGCAAGCCCTGCATAAATACTGAAATTGTGTTGGATATCAGATCTAAACAAAATGAAGGGTGTGAAGTTAAAAACCTCAAAGCTGTTTCATCCAAACTAATAAAATTGCCTGGCTTTCAGAATTCTATACTGTTTTTCTGTTGCAGAGTTTTGGAAAGCAGCTTGACCTTTTTTTGGTTCTTCATTTTGCTGACCTGCCTTTTTTCCCTTATCCCCCCCCCTCCAAAAAAAAAACCCTTTCCAGGTGCATGTCGATCCCGGTGACCATGCGTGCCATCCGGCGGAAGGCAGAGACCATCCAAGCCGACACCCCGGCGCTATCCCTGATCGCGGAGACGGTGGAGGACATGGTGAAGAAGAATCTGCCCCCCGCGGGCAGCCCTGGGTACGGCATGGGCACAGGAGGGGGAGGCAATCTGATGGGCATCCCTGGGGTCGGAGGGGGCAACACGCCCACAGGCGGAGGGGGCAGCAGCGCTGGGGCAGCAGGGGGAGGAGGAGGAGCTGGAGCCTCCTTCCCGGGCCCCATTAGCACCCTTTTCGGGATGGGCCTGGCGCTCAAGGAGAGACACGAGGGCCGGGGGCCCGGGGGAGAGCCGATGAGCCAGGCCGGGGGGGCCCAGCAGCAGCAGGCGCCGCTGCAGCAGCCGGCACAGCAGGGCCACGGGGACGATTTCAGCAAAGTGACCCAGAACCCCATCCTCACCAGCCTGCTGCAGATCACGGGCAACGTGGGCTCCAGCCCCACCCAGGCGCCCCCGGCCGCGGGCCACCAGCCTCACCACACCCCGCCGCCGGCCTCCTCGCCGGCCAGCAACACCAAGAACCACCCCATGCTGATGAACCTGCTGAAGGACAACCCCTCCCAGGACTTCTCCAGCCTCTACAGCTCCAGCCCCCTGGAGAGGCAGAACTCCTCCGGCTCGCCGCGCACCGACATCATGGGCGGGGGCTCGTGCGGGGGGGGCGGCGGCGTTAGCGGCGGCAAGACCAAGAAGAAGCGCCAGCGCAACCCCGACAAGGCCGGCGGGATGGGGGGCGCCATGGGCCTGAAGCCACAGGGCTCCCTGCCGCTGGCACTCCAGCACCACCAGCACCACCAGTTGGAGGACGACTTCCACCGGGAGCTCTTCTCCATGGACGTGGACGCCTCCCAGAACCCCATCTTCGACGTCAACCTCCCCGGGGACGGACTGGACACCCCCCACAGCATCACGCCGGCCCCCAGCCAGTGCGGCACCCCGCCCACGGGCCCGGGGGTGCCGTATCTCTCCCAGGGGCCCCCCCAGTCTCAATCCCAGCAGCAGCAGCAGCAGCAGCAGGTGGCGCCACCCCAGCCCCCCCCATCGGGCCCCAGCAGGATGGTGCGCCTCTCCAGCTCCGACAGCATCGGCGCCGACATCAACGAGATCCTGTCGGACATCCCCGAGCAGGCCGGCAAGATGGCCGCCGGGGGGGGCGGGGGTCACGGGCCGCACCATCACGGCCTGGGCGGGGGTGACGACGGGGGAGCCCTGGGCACCCCCATCCGGGACTCCTCCAGCTCGGGGCAGGGGAGCGCCGTGTTCGAGGCCGACCTGTTCAGCGCCGGCAGCAACGAGAATCCCTTCACCGACCCCGTGGACCTGATCGCCGATGCCGCGACGGCCGCCACGCCCAACAGTGACTCCTCCTCCAATAACTTCTTCCCCGACACCGTGGATTTCAACCCCGAGCTGCTGGCGGGTCCGGGCTTCCCCCAGGCCTACTTCGAGGACAGTTCCCCCAGCGCCGACGGCGACCTGGATCTGGTGAAGGGGTTCGGGGGGGGCAGCCAGCAGCACACCCCGGCGGGTACCCCCCAGAACCCCACGCCCCACGGCCGCAGCACGCCCGACCCCTCCATGAAGGACCCCTTCGAGATGAGCATGGTTTTCGGGGGCAGCGGGGGAGGAGGAAAGCCCCTCCTGGGGGGGCCCTTGCCGGCTCCGGATCTGGCCGACTCCCACTCCGGTGGGGGGCAGAGCCCCCTGATGATGATGGGGATGGGAGGCGGGGGGGGCAGCGATTTCAAAAGCGACGCCAAGGCGAAGCAGCAGCAGCTGATGCGAGGGGGGGGCAAGGAGGGGAACGGGGGAGGAGGAGGGGGGGGGTCTGGATTGGGCGGGGCGTCGGGGGGCTCCTCCGAAGGGAAGCAGGGCAAGCGCAGCCGGACCCCCTCCAGCGACGGCAAGTCCAAGGATAAGCCACCCAAGCGCAAGAAGCTGGACCCTGAGGGTAAATCCCCCTCTCACAGCTCGGGGGGTCGGCCCTACACCCCCCCCAGCGGGATTGGGGGTTCGGGGGGAGGATCCATGGGGGCAGGCGGGGGATCCAAGTCTCCAGGCAGCTCAGGTCGTTCCCAAACCCCCCCGGGGGGCGCCACACCCCCCATCCCCAAGATCACCATCCAGATCCCGAAGGGCACGCTGACTGGCGGGAAGACCTCCTCCCACGGGGGGTACACCTCCAGCAGCTCGGCCGGGGGGGGCGGCGGGGGGGCGGCGGGAGGCGGGGGCAGCAAGAGCCACCACTCCCACTCCTCCTCCTCTTCCTCCTCTTCGGGGAAGATGAAGGGCAGCAAATCGGACGGGTCTCTGGGGCAGGGGGGCGGGTCCAAGCCGGGTGGCGGCGGCGGCGGCTGCAGTGGAGGAGGTGGCGGGGGGGGCGGCGGCTCGCAATCGAAGGGCTCATCCCAGGGCATGGGAGGGGGGAAGCCGGGCTCCTCGCCCATCACCAAGCACGGGCTGGCGGGGGCCGGGGTGGTGGCAGGCGGCGGGGTAGGAGGGGGGGCCAAGATGAAACCCCAGGGGGGGAAGCCACCGGCGTCTCTCATCAACCCCAACATCAAGCCCAACATCTCCCCCTCGCACTCCCGCGGTGTGGGGGCCCCCGACAAGCTCTCCTCCCCCATGAAGCTCCAGCAGCAGCAGGTCCCCGGCACCCCTCCCTCCTCCAAGGCCAAGTCCCCCATGGGCTCGGGGGGCGGAGGGCTGGGCAGCGGATCCAAGACTTCCTCCGGCAGCGGGATGGGACCACAGAAGCAGCAGATGGGGGGCACCTCGTCGTCGGGCTCCTCGTCGTCTTCCTCCAGTTCCTCCTCCTCCTCCAGCTCCTCCTCTTCCTCCTCCAGCTCCTCGTCCTTCTCCGCCGGCTCCCAGTCCCAGTACGGGGGTGGTGGGGGTGGGGGAGGAGGGGGAGGAGGGAACAACAACCCCAACGCCAAAGGCAAGTCTCCCAGCCGCAACAAGAAGCCCTCCCTCACTGCGGTCATTGACAAGCTGAAGCACGGGGTGGGCACCGGCGGGGTC